GGACTTTCTAAATGCATTTAGTATACTTAAAATGTAATTTCTGTGTGAATCTGATTTTATGTCAGAATTCTTGTATTGCAATATTGAAAGGGAAATCTTAACAAACAATTTAAGATCATTCTGGATCTGCAACACTACTGTTGATGTTTACATTCACAATTATTGTGATACACCTAATTCTTTAAGGATTACTAATGATAGTTGCCAAGATAAAGTTTTCTGAGAACTTATTGTATATACGCTTTAGTGTTATTTTACAGTCTTTACCCAAAACATTCTGTATTTTAAAAATTGTAGTTGTTTCAATTGATTTTGAATTTTTATGGACTTTATTCAATGAGATATTTTCTCATATTTTTGTCAAGTCATACTGTCATGTTTAATTGAGTGACGTATCTATGTGTTGCTATGTGTGTACAAACACAATACACAATACAATATATACAATAGATAGGTGGATAGTTTTTAAGTTTCATTACAAAAATGTCCTGAATTTTTTTTAAAGACTCAATAGATGTAGGGTACAGGTTACAATTTTCTAATAGAACACTAAGTTAGTGTAGGGGATTGCCTCTAGTGGATCCATATTTAGAGATGAAAGCAAATTACACACTGAAAGAAAATCCATGTGTTTTATTAGGCTCTGAAGTCCTGAAATGCTTGGTGTAATTTACCAGATGATGATAATATTTATACAAATATGTTTTGGCTGTTCCTTTAAAATTTATTTAGAATCTCACAATCTCTCACCATCTCTGTCACTATACCATCACATTCCACATTTCTACCAGTTTCCTGGATCACTTCTATGGTCTCTTAACTAAGCTATTGCTCTCATTATTTCCTAGTTATTATTGTCTTCAGACAACCAGAGTCACCTGGGTCTACAAGAGTAAGTTGAGGCTGGGCACGGTGGCTCATGCCTGTAATGCCAGCACTTTGGGAGGCCAAGGCGGGTGGATCTCCTGAGGTCAGGAGTTCAAGACCAGCCTGACCAACATGGTGAAACCCCGTCTCTATTAAAAATACAAAAAATTAGCCAGACGTGTTGGCAGGCACCTGTAATCCCAGCTACTTGGGGGGCTGAGACACGAGAATCGCTTGAACCCAGGAGACGGAGGTTGTAGTGAGTCGAGATCCCTCCGTTGCACTCCAACCTGGGCAACAAGAACAAAACTCCATATCAAAAAAAAAAAAAAAAGAGTAAAGGTGATCGTACACTCAACATGGGCTCTCTATATCATGATCTGTTAATAATTCAACACCTTTGCCTGGTCTACAGGGCTCTCCCTGGCGAGCCCTTCATCTCTGGCCAAGGGCCTCTTCCTTCACTGCACTCCAGCCCCACTGGCCTTCTTGCCTAGTACACTCCCAATTCAGAGATTTTGAAATTGCTGCTCAAACTTTTAGGAACTCACATCCCCCAGATACCACATGGTCAGGTTTTTGCTCATATTCCCTTCTAATAAAGAAGCCTTTTTTAATTTTTCACCTCACTGTAAGATACTCTCCACCCTCCACATGCCTTGTACCCCTTCACCCTGCTTTAAGTCTTTCTAGCTTGAATTCATCGCTGCTGAAAGTGATTTCTAATTTGTGTATCTTCTCACATCCTCAGTTGAATGGAAACTGTTTGAGTGCGGGGAGTGTGTCTATTGAGTTCACTGCCCTATCTCCATAGTGGAGTCTGGAAAACAGTGACTGCTTCCAAAATACCTGTTGAATGAAGTAGTGAAAGTTATGGACATTGAGCTTTATTTAGATAATGAATTTCAGGCCAGTAAAATGGACAACAATGGAGAACAATGTTGTCTGTGGCATTTAATCCACCACAGGAGAAAAGAGAAGAGTGTGTGTGTGTGTGTGTGTGTGTGTGCTTTTTTATTTGCAGATATACTTTCAAGATTATCTACCCTATCCAAATCTATTTTAATAAAAGTGTTATATAATTTTGCATATTTCAATTTTAATACAGTTAAGAAGTATAAAAATTCTAAATAAATTAAACACAATAAATACAAAAAATAAATAACATGACTCATTCTCTGTAGATCTTTCATAATGAAAAAGGCAGGTATGTTCTTATTGCTTTCATGATAGTTGAACTTATATAACTGAATGATTACTTTCCAAGATTAATGCTTTGATATAATAAGATAAAGAATTATTATTAAACCATACCTTTTTCAATTGTGTTAAAAATAAATAAGAATGACATATATTTTTCTAGATTGACACCTAGACATTGATTACTTATTGGTATAGATGGTAAATATGTGTAAATAAAAATGATGATATAAACATAAAACTGTGTGAATATAAAATATAGTTATAATAATTAAATATAAACAAGTATATAGACATAAATATATATAATGTATATCTAGAATTGAATCTTTTGTACTTTAATTTTACTTTGGAAGTATACTTAATTTTATATTTAAATATCATGACTTCTTAATTTAAAATATTTTTTATATTATTAATGATTTGTATTTGTTTCATTTGAATAGATATTTGTAACCTATTTAAATGTGATTTCTTTGGTGGAGACTTTCTTAGGGAAAATATTAAGTGAGAAGACTTTACATTGATTTGGGATTAAAAGAAAAAGAGAAAAACAAACTAAATAATAATAAGGGAGTAAACTGGATAATAATTTGACATATTTTTCTAAGAGTACTTTGCAAATTTAGCATAAATGCTTAATTTAATATAGTGGGATCATGTGGGATCTAGAAATTAAATTAATTTCTAGACTAAGCATAATTTATGCACAATAGCAGAAATAAAAATATGATAATCTATTTGAAAAATGTGTTTCTTTTTCAGAGTATTTTCATTATCATATATATTGCTTTCTTGTTAAAATTCAGAGTTCCTGAGCAAATATGGGAGGGGCATGCTGATTAATGGAACTGAATGCAAAATATTTATTCTGGTCAAAATAATTACAATGAGCAAATGAGTATTGTGTACTGCAGTTTGGGGTGTATTCTCCAAAATTCTTCAAAATAGAGTGTGTTTTGTAGAAGAGGAGGAAAAGGCTAAATTAAATGAGCTTCACTTTTCTGCCTTTACTTTGTTATTGGAAATTTCTATAATTTGCCTCATTATTATGGAAAAAAGCTGCACACTTTAAATGCCATTATAATTTTTCTTTCTCACATTAACAGACTCCTTCATGTCATCACCCAACAAAAGACAAAACTACAGACACTGAAAAGAATGATTTCTTCCTGATATTTCAACTAACTTTGCCCTCTGCAATCCTCTTTGGCTCTAGTCCATACGCCATCACTGAACAGCTTCCCAGCACAGTCTGTCTTTCTCTCTGTCTGTTTATTGGTAAATCTTTTTCCCTTTCCTCCGTATAGCCCTCTCACGTCCATTACTGGCCTTTCACATTTCTTCTGCTTCTCAGGGGATTAGAGCTTACACACATCAGTATGCCTCCACTGTGATATCAAACAACATTGTGGTGAATTAGATATTTATATCTTTTTTTTTTTTTTTTTTTTTTGAGACGGAGTCTCGCTCTGTCACCCAGGCTGGAGTGCAATGCAGTGGCCGGATCTCAGCTCACTGCAAGCCCCGCCTCCCGGGTTCACGCCATTCTCCTGCCTCAGCCTCCCGAGTAGCTGGGACTACAGGCGCCCGCCACCTCGCCCGGCTAAGTTTTTTTTTTTTTTTGTATTTTTAGTAGAGACGGGGTTTCACTGTGTTAGCCAGGATGGTCTCGATCTCCTGACCTCGTGATCCACCCATCTCGGCCTCCCAAAGTGCTGGGATTACAGGCTTGAGCCACCGCGCCCGGCTAGATATTTATATCTTCAGAAGAGCCATAAAAAGGCGCAGTATCAAGGCTGGTGGGGTTAGAGTTACTTTTTGATCTTGTTTTTAAAATAATCTTTATATGTATAGTAATAAAAAATTAGGTTACAATTAAACTCCAGTAAGAATCTTTTTAAATGACATAATCAAATTATCAGGTCTAATTGTTCAACATAAAATAGATAATAGTTGAATCACAAAATAATAGCACCTGTAGAATTAAATACTCAGCATCACTAGGTCTTCTTCTTCTTCTTCTTCTTTTTTTTTTTTAGTTTAAAATACAGTTGACTCTTGAGCAACACAAGTTTGGACTGTGCAGGGCCACTTATATGTGGATTTTCCTCTGCCTCTGCCTCTGCCTCTGCCATCCCAGAGACAGCAATACCAGCCCCTCCTCTTCCTCCTTCTCCTCAGCAATGTGAAGATGATGAGGATGAAGACCTTTATGATGATCCACTAACACTTAACAAATGTAAATATATTTCCTTTTCCTTATGATTTTCTTAATAACATTTTCTCCTCCCTAGCTTACTTTATTGTAAGAATACAGTATATACGGCCAGGTGTGGTGGCTTAGGCCTGTAATCCCAGCACTTTGGGAGGCCGAGGCGGGTGGATCACGAGGTCAGGAGTTCGAGACCAGCCTGACCAACATGGTGAAATCTCATCTCTATTAAAAATACAAAAACTAGCCGGGTGTGGTGGTGCATATCTGTAATCCCAGCTACTCAGGAGTCTGAGGCAGGAGAATCCCTTGAAACCAGGATGCGGAGGTTACAGTGAGCCAACATCGTACCACTGCACTCCAGCCTGGGTGGCAAGATTGCGACACCATCTCAAAAAAAAAAAAAAAAAAAAAAAAAAGAATACAGTATACAGTATATACTATGTATAACATACAAAATGTGTGTCAAATGTTTATGTGATTGGTAAAGCTTCTGGTCAAGAGTAAGCTATTAGAACTGAAATTTTGGAGGATCCAAAAGATACATGCAGATTTTTGACTGCATGGAGTATTAGTACCCCTAACTCCCACATTGTTCAAGGGTCAACTCTATTGCTAATTGAAGGAAAATTAAAATTACTTGTCATTTTCAACATTTATTTTTTATCTTCTTTAATTATTATTTAGTAGTCAACTGTCCAAACATTTGTCTATATACCTTTTTCAATTTGATGACTCCCTCTTGTGTATCCTCATCTGTGACGATGTCAAACAAATTTCCCCCATCTCCTGGAACGATATTGTATTCAATTTCTGCATTTTGTCCAAAATCAGGATCCACAGCTCTTATTCTTCCAATAGCTGAGCCAATAGGGGAAGACTCAGGAACTTTCAGGTGGAAGATGCCTGATAAGACATATAAAATTCAAATTGACAGTCGGGTTAGTAAGAGATATAGTAAGATTATAAGGCTTGAAAAATAGAGTCTACTGAAAGTAAATCACATTTAGAACATTATAGTGCAAAATGAAAAGGCATTTTGCTGTCACGTTTAGGATTATGATTAGGAGTAATAACTTCACTTTTCTCTTCAATATGAGCTGCTCTAGAATTTTAATTGGGCATTATAAATAGTAGAGAATGCTAAAGTAAAATTATTAGCAGGACTTGTTTTACACACTTATTGACATAAAAGTGTACCACATGTCAAATGGGAGGGTGGGACTATTCATGAAATTAATTAGTACTAATACTACAGACTGCAAGACGTAGGTGAAAAGTTATAGAAGATAGATAGATAGATACATACATAGAGAAAGTTGAGGTTATATTTCCTGAAACTAATGACGTCAATAAGTATACATCGAGAAAGTTGAGGTTGTATTTCCTAAAACTAATGACGTCAATAAGTATATATCATTAAACTAAAAATAACCTGTAAAATGATAATCTGTATAGTTAACCAAAATTCTAGTAGATGATAGATTGAAATATAGTATATTATAGACTAAAATTCAGCTTCTATTTAGTAAATTTTAACTTGTCACCCTTCTATATACTTTTACTGATATTTTAAGTCATAAAGTTCTATCTCCCGAAGCTTTTTAATAGCATTAAGAAAGAAAAAAAAGTAAAATGCTTACTTTTACCACCAGGTGGAGCATTCATATTGTAATGAAATTTATACTGAATCAGCAAAACATAGATTAAAACATGTCAGAATCATGGAAAATTGTAATACTCTCAAAAAAAAAAATAGACATGATTTTAAGGTTTTGTAGAATTTTTAAAAGTCTGACACACAAGAAAGATAAAAAGTATGCTCTTTTACTGATATTTCATTAAAGCAAATATTAATGGGTTTAACAACAGTCTGTTGAAATTAAAATAAGGAAAGGAAGTGAGAGAAAATAAAAATGAAAAAACAAAACTAAACACAAAAATCTAAAATTTCCATTTGATATTGGAGTTCCACTTTCAATTTCTCTTACTGGATTTAGAATGGCTCTTTCCCATGGGCAAATCAACTGTGGTGATTCATTCATTTTAGAATTTTAGTTACATTTATGGAAAATAAATTAAGAAGATACTAAAAATGTCTGTTGCATAGAAGTTAATTAAAAAATCATATTACAATATTACAGTTATTTTCTCCAGGAAAGTGTGAGAAAAAAATCACATCTTGTAGAGTTTCTGCCAGATATTTTATTTTTGATTTCCAATTATTTTTGAGGTCCTATGGTTCTTTCACAATCAGTTTCAAAACTTGCAACATTTAAATCTCCCATCTTCCCTCCTTCCCCCAGAAAATGGTATCTAGCATGTGTCTTGCATATGCAGACCAGCCATATTTAAGTCCAGCATATTATGTCCATGGAATGTATATGTGATTTGATCTCAAGATAGCTAAATACTCAACTAAAATTTGTTTATTTTACATACAAGACAAAATGATACTTTACAGTGGTCCATAAGAATTATATTTAAATAATCAGCTTAGTTAATTCATAGTATATCTACCTTCAAAGAGGATATGAGGGCTCTTTCTAAAAAATGCACTTAAAAGTTTAAATAGATAAAAAAAAATATATAGACCTAACAACGACAACAACAACAACAACAACAACAAACTCCCTCCAAGTCACAATGCTAAAGTGTTACATAGATATTATGAAGAAATCTCAGTTAAGAAAAGTCATATTATTTGATCGAAGTAGTAACTTCTCATAGTCTAGGATTATTGTTTTATTTTTATTTCCTAAGCACTTAACACGGTAGCTGTCATTTAGGGATGCTTAATGTTTGCTGAACTTAAAGCAGTGATTGAACTTGAGGCAATCAAATCAAAGAAGAAAAACAAAAGAATGGGTTACATGGCATTCCTATTTTCTACCAGAAGGATAAAGCCAGATGTTCAAGAAGAATCTATCCGATTTCAAATAGACTTAATTACATGGCTTTTGGAACTACTTTCTTAGGGCATAAGTTTTCTTAATAGATAAATTAAAACCTGATCCTAGTGAGGCACTCCTGAGATAATAGGAAATATGAGGGTCCCTGAACTTCTGTATAATGAGGCAAGAAAGCATGTGACAAAGTTTTTACAGTTGTACTAAACTTAAGGACAAATTCCCCAGAAAAAGGACAAGGCACAGAACGTGTGAGTAATTTTTCATTTTCTTTTTTTTTTTCCTTCTTAAATGCCCGTTAAATGAAAATACAACTTATCAGAAACTGTGTTTGTATCTTTTGCGTCTCGTTGTGTGATTGTGATGAAGAATCTGAAGGAACATCAAAAGCTTTGAACTTACAGTATGATTGGTCATAGCCCAAACTCATGGTTCATAAATGAGTGTTAGAAAAAGTCTAAATTTTTTTTTCTAATAAAAGAGAGAAATGGAGGTCTATGTTGAACAGTGTACTAGAAATCCTTCATGATCAGGACTTTTAGTTGGAAACTTAGGGCTAAACATCATCAAGGAAATAGCTGAACAAGTGTTCAGAGAGACAGGGAGCCGTCGAGTATAGTGGATTTCAAACTTCAAATGTGGCCAGCAGTAGGGGTGGTAAAGGTGAAACAGCGAGAGTCATAAGGAGAGGAGTAGTACGGGAATGTTAGGAACTCATGGGCATCTCACTTAAAGGGCTGGGGACATTTCAGCTTATTCCATCCAATCCATTCAATGAGAGCCAATTCAGGTTACATATTAGGTTTATGAGTTAGCTTTACATTTACATTTGAATGGTTAAAAGCAAAAGTTAAGGGAATCACACATCGATGAAAATGATAGAGCCAGAGGTCCTCTCTAAGGGATTACGGTTAGTGAAGGTGAAGAGTTTAGCGACAGTTGAGATCCTCCAATATGGGTGGGAGGTGGGGGGTAAATTAAAGCACTGAAAGGTATTCCAAAGGGCACGGGATAATTCAAACTGCAGATGAAAGATCCCCCTTTTCAACATAATATGCTGAGATATGAACTTTATGTTTTATAAAAGAACATTTTATGGGGCTAGTAACAATAAATGTAAAGACAGCTATTCTTTGTAGTATTCTATCAATGTAAGTGAAATAGGGTGTTTTGTTTTAAGTTGTCAGCATAGAGAATGCCAACAAATTCCATATTTATCTAATGGCATTGAAAAACTTGTGATAAACTGAAATAATAGCATTGTCCAATAATGATTGATTTACTAGCATTCCACTAGCTTGCATGCCCTCAAAACTCAGATAAAATAAAAGTAAAGCAATAATTTACCACTTACATTTTTGTGTGCGTTAAGTTTTAGTGCATGTGAAATGCAAATATACAGAGCAATGGATTTTCTACTCTTTACATAGCAGACATACATTTTAGTAAGGTGGAAGTCACGTTCATTAAGACAAGTGTTTCTTAATAAAATATTACAGCTGGTAATAAAGTCTGCAGAATATGGATCAAGTCAGAGAAACTATGCATTTGTCATGTCGGATTGTGTAGGTTCTGTAGGTTTATTTCCAATGACTTGACATTTTATCATTTCTAGAATCTCAACAGCAATAAAACTGAGGTCATTCAGATTAATTCAAAACTGTGAAGTAATCTTCAGCTGTGCCAAAGTTGGATTGTTCATGATGTACTGTGTAATTACACCGCCATCGTCTTTTAGGCGTCCTACTTTTGATGCATATGAAACATCTTAATGGCACTACCTGTACCACAAGAATTGAGAAATGAAACAGGTGACAAGAGACTGTCCACAGTCAATAAAAATATGTATTTACCTATTCATCAAATATACATATTATGCTTAACCAAAATCAGCATTTTCCCATGGAGAAGGAGGAAACGGCATGCAGTGAACTAAGTATAATGATCAAATTCTTAAATATAATATTCCCTGTTAGTTCCAAGAGTAGAAAAAAAATCAGGTAGTTATAAGCTACATAAGTATCCTCTCAGTAACTATGTCATTTGAAAAGATACTGATTAGGACATAAACTGTGGGTTGGGGGGTAGAGGACATGCATTGCTACTTAAAAAAAAGGATGTGAAATACATTTACCTTCCTTTTTTGTTTATTGCAGGAAATTTCCAGATACTGATGAAAACACCAAAATAAATATATTTACTTGACAAAATATAAATGAAGATCTTTACTTAAAAATAAAGATTATAGGACCTGAACAAATATATTAAGTGAATGCATGACTTTAAAAATACCACAGCATTCAATAATACCAGTAGCAAGTTAAAAAGAAGATAAAATACAAACTGACTTTTGAAATACATTTTATTTTATCTTTATGTAACAATAATTCTAAAGTTACTAAAAAAAAGAAGTCGATGTTCAGCTGCAAAAGAGTTACCTAAATACAAGTAACTAATGCAAATATAATTCATATTTAATAATACAAGAATACTAGAAATATTGGAGGGCTTAAGAACAAATTATTTCAAATTGATGAAAATGTTAAACATTTTTAAAAACTCAAAAACATACATTTGAGACCAACTAAATAGACTATGATTTGAAATATTACATTTCAATTTAAACTTCAAAAAATTATATATAGCACTGAACTATTGATTCAGTAATTGAATTCAACCATTAGATTGTTCAAATGATCCTGCATACTTTTTGTGTGAGAGTGATTTACCTTCTAATGGCTTAGAAATAAAATTGTGTTGTATCAGTATTTTATTTTTTTAATGACTTAAATATATATCACACAGAATTATTTCACCTTACTTAAACAACACAAAAAGGAAATACAAGTAAACAACATATTGTGTGAGTAAAAAGGAACTTTATAGAAATTGTGCACCTGTAGCTCTGTGACCTTGAGGAAAATATTTTAAATATCCCTGTTTTGCTGATCTTTTAAAATATCTCTCTTTTCCTGATCTGTAAAATTAGTATAACAA